CACTCACATCGTCAGATATGTCTCATGCACTGGATAGTGTTGGACCCCAGTGACACAAGACACCACCCATGCGATGAGTCACCGCTCAACCAACACCACACTTACACACACTGCAGTTACAGCTACTGTCACCAACCCAACACCACCCACTCCCCACTCAACGGTACTAGGCTTTCAAGGAACAGTAGCAACACAAGACTACCCCAGCGTAAAGCTAACGATATAAGGTTAACACCATCAGTCCACTAACACGCTAGCAACACAACAAAACCCTATTGATATATTCCACACCAGTACCTTGATATATAATACACAACACCATTTGTATATAACACACAACACGCTTGATATATAACACACAACACGCTTGATATATAATACACAGCACCATTTGTATATAGCACACATCCCGCTTGATTTACAATACACAACACTCTTATATATAACACACAACACGCTTGATATATAACACACAACACCCTTGATATAGAGCGTAAATAGACTCACTTGAGTGGGTGCTGTAGCACAGACACCATCAGCTCAGTCGCCAGAGCGGACGCCATGAACGAAAGACCAGGACGGGTGACTGTGCATTGTTGATCGAGCGTACGATCCTTTGTGGACTACAAACAAAACAAAGGTGGACTATTAAAAAATTGGACTTGGAATGCAATAAAAATGAACCATAAATGTAACAAAAGTGGACTACATATGAATCAAAGTGTACTTTCACATTATTTTGCATACGCGTGGTGGTGGATTGCGAACGGCCCGACTAGTTGAGTGTGCAATATCTTGTGGAATAGAAGTGGAGCAAACTGGACTAATTGAGAGTTCGCCATTTTGTTCACATACATGTGTCAATGGTCTGTTCTCATACATTTGTCAATGGACTGTTCTCATACATTTGTCAATGGACTGTTCTCATACATTTGTTGATGTTTTACTCACATTTATTTGTCATGGTCTGTTCACATACATTTGTCAATGGTTTGTCAATGGGTTGTCAATGGGTTGTCAATGGGTTGTTCACATACATTTGCAGGTGCCACTACGTCGTTACAGAAATAGCAGCCCAGTCTGACATCGTCCTGTGATTTTTGAGTGCCGTGTCTCATCACCATATACTGGTCAAAGCCTAGAGCCGCATTAAGCGCAAGCTGTGTAAAGCGGGACGTGCAGAGGTCAATATCGGTACGAGTGAGGACATACACAGGCACGTGCTCAGACCGACAACACTATGTACGATGATGCGCAATAGACCCAGCAGGGATAGGTATAAGGACGGTTGGAAGGGATAGCGGGATCATGAGTTCAATACCGGATGTGTAATTGCGAGAAGCAGAACAGATGAGATGTATGACGGATTGAGGAAGGGCACTACAGTACAGTCCAATGCAATGCATTGTCTATATTTAGATAACGGGATGGGTGGAGATTAATGACGGGACAGGCGAAGTGAATTGCAGGATGGGCGGAGAAAGGGGCGAGTGAACTATTCAATCAGTGACTGTATTCTTTGGGTTGAGGTTTGGAATAGTACCTGAGATAAGGCACATCCATCCGACACAACTGATCATGGACACAGACAGGCACACACGAGAACATACAACACACACACACGCACACACACACGAACATACAATACACACACATACAAACACACAACACGCACACGCACACACACGAACACACAACACACACACACACAACACACACACAACACGCACACACACGAACACACCCACACAAGACACACACACACAAGACGCAAGACACACAAGACACACACAACACCCACACAGAAACACACCCACACAACACACAACACACACAACACACACGCGTGCAAACCGCTACGCCCACCTTGTTCATGGATTGGCACAGTAGAGTGGGCAGCCACCTGCTCTCTCGCGTGTCCATTAACAAGTACACCACATCGTGAGCGGCTATGAGATCGCTGAGCTTATCCACCGTCTGTCTAATTTCCGCTTCTTCGGACTGAGCCACGGAGTGGCCTGGCATAGGTATGCTCATGTGATGACCCTCTGTGACCATACCTAGTAGGTTGAGGGTGGTGGTGTGACTTGGGTGTGTAGGTACTGTAGGTAGAAGGTGGTGGTGTGACTTGGGTGTGTAGGTGTCGTAGGTAGAGGGTGGTGGTGTGACTTGGGTGTGTAGGTGTTGTAGGTAGAGGGTGGTGGTGTGACTTGGGTGTGTGGTTGTTGTAGGTAGAGGGTGGTGGTGTGACTTGGGTGTGTAGGTGTTGTAGGTAGAGGGTGCTAGGGGGAGGGATATATGTGGCGTCTCGCACACACCCACGTAAACGTATTTATAGATACGTTTGTATATGAAGGTACTAAGCTAACTATGTATAGGTATAGAAGTGAGGTGTATATCAAGTATTTAACATACACGTTCGCATATGAATCTACTAAGCTAGCTATGTATATACCCCATTTGAAACTTTGCCTATATCCAACGAATAATATATTGATAGGGAGTGCTCACACATATGTGTGTCTATAACAATACAAACAATACACACACATCTCAATATGATCCCAACCAACGAAGTGAAGCATAACCAGGGTGACTGACTCACCAGGGAATATCTCGGCCAAATTAGCGGCTGCGGCTATGGCTTTCTCTGTTCCGCCACCAATACAGTCTTTGAATGAGAACAGACTCTGCCTCGCCGGATTCGAGTAAGAGACGTAGCCATTGTCCACAAAGGTAATGTGCCGCACACCCCATCTGTAAGAAGAAGGACCGGAGGTAGGTATAGGTCAAGGTTGAAGTTCTTCATGGTCTTACAAAGCTGGACGCTAGACGGTTGTGAGAAGAAAGGTAAGGGTAAGAGTGTACGCGCATGCGCCAGGAACAGTACACACCTTACATAAGGCGGTTATATGATACGTGGATACCACATCCAGCAATAACAGCATCTGCATAAACACGCCAACAAAAGATAATAAAGCACCAATCTATCTATCCGACATGGTAGTGAAGTGATATCAACGGATAGACAGGTGATTAAGTTTAAAGATTGTCAGCTAAATGCACATATATGTATGTATACAAGATGCATGTATTGCTGGTTTGGGGTGGATAGGTAGCTAAGTGTAGAGGGTGTCAGTAAATGCACATATATACATAAAATATAAGACGCATATATTGCTGATTTGGGTTCTTGTTGCTTGGCAGATAGATTGACAGTCAGGTAGGATGGGAGAGTGCCGGACAAACTACATGTTTGCACAGCTAGACTGGATAGATAGACAGATAGACCAGAAAGCCAATCCTACCCCGGGGTAGGTACACCCACATACACCTACTCCGGGGTAGGTGCACCCACATATACCTACCCCAGGGTAGGTGCACCCACATATACCTACCCAGGGTAGGTGCACCCACAGATACCTACCCCATAAGGCATCTAGCCACATTGCACCCGAGCGTCCCTGCTCCTAGCAGTAAACACTTTGTATCTTTAATCACATCCAAGTCCAACCCAGGCAATATGCGCCACTTCATCAGCGACAGATTCAGATCAATCGCCGACTCGGCCAGCGTTCGGGGGTCCATGCTTGCACCCAAATTCACCACACGAGGGCCTAATTTGCCCTTGACGTTCCGTTCCCACCCTACTATTTTGGGCATTGCCATCTGTACTGCCACCTGGTGGCCAACTGCAGCAATATATTTATGAGCATGTGTCAGTTTAAAGACTTATGTATGTGTAATGGGGTGTAGGTAGATCAATATGCACACAAATATAGATATATATATATATATATATACATATATACATATATATTCAGACACAGACAGACACAGACACAGACATAGACAGTGATATATATGCACACAAATAGATGCACAGTGATATGTTGATGCGAACGTTAGCCCCCATGCGCGCGTGCTTTGGTGTTAGTGCCATATGTACATGTGTGTGGACGTACGCCCTTACCTACCTACGATAGATACCGGGCACTACAGAGATGCTGCCATGTTTCAAAGTACATGAGCAACATTCTCTTTTAACTCTACGTAGGTCCTACATCTCAATATGTGAACAAGACACCAGTGCACGTTTCCCTGTACCTCATTATATACTGTGCTAATACGCTTCTATCCTTCGGACCAACCAGTTGCCATGTCAGGTAAGCATACATCACCTCGTGTCGATATACCACCCAATCCTCCATCTATTGCCCACACACAACAATCCTAAAGGCCGTTACTTGCCTCTCCCGTTGCGTTCTACTAAACCTCATCGCCACAAACTCACACTACAAATACGCGTCCCATCCACGCACACCTTTGTCGTTGCTGCTATCCGCTGTAGAGGTGATGTCTCGGTCAATATCCCCCGCCCCATCCATCGCCGGCAGCCGTAGACGTTTAAACGCAATGCTTCTCTCTGTGCTTGCCTGTCCGTTGCGGAAGTTCTTCCTCAGACACACCACGTCTATCACATCCACTCGCGCATGTGTGTGAAACCGTACTAACGCCAACAGATTACGCAGCGGCCACCCTGGGTGCTGAAGTAAGCAACAAGGACTTAGGTGTGTGTCTAATTACTACTGAGGTGTCTATGAAATGAGAAGTGTAACCCCTGACGCACACAATAGAAGTGTCTACCACGTGATATGTAGCATACCATAGGGTGATCCTATACTGGAGACGTACGGTAATGGTGATGATATGGGTCATACTGAGCAAACGATAGAACTGAGAGGGGGGAAGCCTAAGCAACGAGATACATACATAAAACACACATACATACATCTATACAAAAAACATCTATACATACAACATCTATACATACAACATCTATACATACAACATCCATACATTCAACATCTATGCATAGCCCCTACACCGACTATGCGGAAGTAGCGATAGCATTGCTTAAGAGTCGTACCTGTGGGTGTGTGGATGGGTCCAAAAACCCTACGGTCAGTCTGCGGTTGGGTTTGTCCACAGCCGCCTCCCAGGCCTTGAGTTCAACTACTTCACCGTCAGCATCCGGATCCAATCCGTCTGTGCAAGTGTGCGTGTACGTGTATGGGTAGGTACATAACAAATCACTTGAGCCATTGTTTGCAATCGGCGTATGTCTACGTATTAAGCTGGGTCATTAAGTGCTACGTTTTGATGACCACAGCTCAGAGGTTTCTGCACAGGTCCGTTCTGATGTGTGGGTTGCAATCGAGCGCAGGTATTTCTGCAACACAAGTGTATGTACGTATAGAAGACGTCGGCATCGATTAGGGGTTTAAACCCTAAACCGTTAAAACCTTGAAAACTCTAAAACCCAACCCTGTGTACGTAGAGAAGGCGTCGGCATCGATTAGGGGGTTTTAACCGTAAAACCTAACCCTGTGCACGATGGATCCAAGTCAACAACATCATGGTCACGAATACACATTTTGAGTCACCATCCTTTATAGAAAAAATTCAAAGGGGTAGTGCCCGACACAATCCTGCACTCAGTCTAACAAGAACTCTTGGACCGACAACCGCTATCTATATGGGCAATACCACATACTCAAACATAACATCATCCGATCTTAACAAACACACAGTACAATGCACTACAGATACACATGAGACAACAGCTACCTGTGTCATGTAATATATATACATATAAGACCATACCTACCTGTGTCCACAATGCAGAAGAAGGCGGGTCTCCCTTGGCGCACATGTGTGGCCAACATGTGGTCTACGTACGTCTGTGATCTGTGGGCACTCAGTGGAATCCCTGGCCTGTCCATCTCATACTTCAGCGACAGAGCTAAGATTGCACGCAGCGTATGGTGAGTAAATGATATGTACTTGAATACTTCGTTTTAATTCAGAAGAAAATTCAAATTATATATATATATATATATATATCTATATGTGTGCGTGTGTGTGTTTTTGTGCATATATAGGAACATTTGCACGGTATAAATGTGGGTGAGGCATATGTGGCGTTTGGTGTGCATGTGATGCAAGGTGGACGATGTGACCATCGTATCAGCGAAGATTCATGCCATGAGCCCAATAACCGACAGTTCTCGTAAATACGAATAGAGTTTTGCAACGAACTCTGCGTAATAGCGCGTTGCCATGGCGACAGAGATCAGCTAACGTTAATAGAAGTCAAGAGGTACTAATATTAGAGGTCCTTATAGCCAGTTACACACTCCGTTAACGTTTATAACTGATGGGGTCTTTACATGTGCACGACGGCTGGTACGAGAGTCCTCAACGACCAAACCACCCACAGTGTATGCACGAAACACATTAAGTGGTGGATGCGCACGCATACCGGAGACTGCAGATACATTGCATCGTGAATTATAAGTGGGTACCTCGTATTGTGAATAGTAGGTACTATGCCTTGTGAATAATAATACCTACCGGGGAAGGCGAACCAGAAGTAGTACAGGAACTTCTTGAGATCGATGTACGCCAGTAGCAGCGAGCGATTGAGCAGCTCAGGGTGCTCTAGTGCACGACCAGAGACTATGTCACGCCACACCTTGTAGCCCTCCGTCTCCAGCAGTTGCTGCTTGTCCACACTCTGAAAGTGGTCCAGCTGGTTCATGAGCTTCAACACACCCTGCACCGGCACTGTGGGGACAAGGGGTGTGTGTGACAGTAACAACGCGAATTGTGAGGTTTGGGTACACATTACGGGTGGTGTGATTAGGACGAGTCTTGGGTGGTACCAATAAACGAGTGGTGCAGATGTCCACAATGGCTCAGCGGACACGAGCATCGCACCGACCTCAGGTGACTGTCTACTGGCCCAAGCAATTGCACCAACGGGACACATTTGGGACTGCAACGGACCCTTGCACGGACACAGGTGCACCAACGGGACACATTTAGGACTGCAACGGACCATTGCACGGACACAGGTGCACCAACAAGACACATTTAGGACTGCAACGGACCCTTTAGCACGGATACAGGTGCACCAACGGGACACATTTAGGACTGCAACGGACCCTTGCACGGACACAGGTGCACCAACAAGACACATTTAGGACTGCAACGGACCCTTTAGCACGGATACAGGTGCACCAACAAGACACATTTAGGACTGCAACGGACCCTTTAGCACGGATACAGGTGCACCAACGGGACACATTTAGGACTGTAACGGACCCTTGCACGGACACAGGTGCACTGCCTGCCGTCACAGGGCAAATATTATATACCACAACATCACGCATTGTGTTTGGAGATGATTCCTTTTTTCACCACACACGAGAGTACAAACTACAGATGCGAGTTTGAGGGGTGATATAGCCATTGACTTGGGAGCTATGGCGGCGGATAGAAGGCATACCACTACCACAACCGATACCTTTACCCCGACAGCACTAACGGGCGCAAGCTACACAGGAACCACTAAGGGCACCTGCAGAACAATAACATCTACACAGATAAAGCAAACAGACAGTACTAGGGTATACAGACGCTACTACGTGCACAGTGTGCAGGTACCTGCATCGAGCGGTAGGCCATCAATCCGACGCATTGGTGTTGGAGGGGCATCGTCTGTGGTGTGAAAGAGAGACTTCAGCAGACAATCAGTCACAATCACGTGCGCACTCGTGAGAAGCATAGCGTGCAACATGCAAGAGCATATATGCACAACAGCACGCTCACACTCTCAGCTGATACACTAGTGACGGGGCATTGGGCATGCAGGAGTATGGGCTGAGGCTACTCTGATGCATTCGATGGTTGGTTTACTATGCGTGTACCCATTTAGCACACGAACAGGGCAATTGTGTAGTGCTTGGGGCCTATTCAATGTGTTTATGCCACACCGATGGGTTGTTTATTTCGACCCGATGCGCGACGAGTTAACTTGAAATCGGCAATCAGAACAGATTTACATTAAATAGGTAAATACATACACATTCAGAAGGACTGGATTCCATACTATCTTGCGATACTGCCGGGAGGTGACAATAGACGGTTTTTATAACCACGTAGGACATGGAATCAGAAAACTTTATACGTTGTGTATTACTGGGCGCTATAGAAATCCCATATGCAAGGCTCCTGCAAATGTGAATATTCACCGCAGCGTGAACGTAGGGGATGAGAATGTGCGCAAAATTTCATATATATATATATATATATATATAAATATAACATACATATACACGCATACACCTATAAAACACACACAAACAATCATACACACACACACAAACACACACATACACACACATATATATATACATATATATACATATGCATTTACAAGCATACTTACACACACACACACACACACACACACACACACAC